AGGCGGAGAGGCCATTTTGGCACATTTATCCATAAATGTCTCCAAACTGTGCCAAATGTGTTTTTTACATCAATACTGGGGGTTTGTTAAAATTACGAGGTCACGTAGCAGCTGGACCCACCGGTGGGTCTGTAGGGTTCTAGGGGTTAAAATATCGGGATATCGGCCAAAATCCCAATATCGTGCATCCCTATATTGGACCATAAAAGAAATGAAGCTATTTGTATTTCCTGAACTACAGAATGACTGGTTTGACTGGGGGGAAATCGTAATTTGTTGTGATAGTGAGATATCACGGACCTGAAAACAGACACCCCCAACACAGGAACCGCAATATCTGCTGGATTTGTCTCTTTCTAGGTTGTATTTCTGAATTTTTGGTCAAAGAAAAACATATATCGCCGGATTAAACCCTCAAGAGGATCTAGTGTAGGGAAGAAAGAGTTAAGATTCTTTTTCTGCGGATTATTACAAACAAGAGGAGCCTAAACAAGCCTGGAACCTGGAACCCACAACCGTGGGACATTTGTGAAGCTATATTGGGCAGGAAAGAAAAAATACTTCATAGTTATTGGTTTGAGGTGGCTTACATTTGCTAACTTCATTGTTTTCTTGAGAAAAAAAAAGAAAAAAATGGATATCCATGAAGCTGGCAGTGAGTGACAAATAATTAGTCAGGATCCCACTGAGCAAATAAAAATAATCGTATGCCTCAGGAGGTCTAGCAGTTTATTCCCCAGTTAAGAGGCTAAAACTTCATGAGGATTCACGGGAAGTAGGGGCGCTGCAGCACCCCCTAGTGGCTAGAGGGAAATAAATTTATTAAAAATACTTTGCACAATTTATACATTTCTTATGAATATTTTGGGAAAATACTTTGCCTTTTTTTTTTATATTACTATTAGGTGTATTTGGATTTTAAAGTAGTAGGGAAGCCGCTGTTCCAAATGTTGCATTTCCGAATTCTCCCGAGTGATGCCCGACTTTACGCGAGTGAATAAAGTGAATGTGATTGGTCGATTATCAAGGGGGCGGGATTGTTGTGTCCTCAAATTTGTGTTTTTCAGGTTGCATTTTTTAAAAAGTTGACTTAAAAAATTATATAATCTGTATTTCTGGATTAAAGGGTAAAGCAGCATCAAAATATTTACAACATTTATCTATTCTAACTTTATAATTCATTTTACGGATACTTATTTTTTGTTGCTCTGGCTATGTTCTTTAATTGTTGATGTTGAAAATTGTATTTTATTTTCTTTGTCTTTATCTTTGTTTTCCCTTCATGCAAACGTGAACTGTAACTTTCTAAGTTTTGTAATAAAAAAAAATAAAAAAAAGGTTGCATTTTAACAGGGCTGTAAGGATTCTATACAATTAAACAGGTCTGGTGTTCTGGGCCGGTTGCTACCGCTAATGATAGCCTACCCTGCTGCTACACGGAAGCTAAGCTTGGCGATCAACAATGGAGGGAGAAAGCTATGGGTAAAAATAAGCGCAGAGAAATAGAGAACGTTCTGAAGCTTTAGGGTCATTTAAACTTAAACTCCGCAGCTCAGCACCGATTGATTCTCACCCTTTACTTTAGGAAGAACCGCGTTACGATTGTTCACCATTTGAATCAAACCATTATGTGAAAACAGGGGGTTGCAGCTCAGAGGATAATAATTACAAATAAATGATACCATTAATATTCAATTCCCTATGCCTTTTTTTATGGAACCAAAAACAAGACGTTTGTAGCTTTACTCATCAGAAAGGTTCTGTTTATTTTAAAACAGAACTATGTAAAAAATAAAAAAAAATCTAGAACACAATATACACCGTTCTTTTGTTTTTGACCATATACACTGAGTGCTAGCTTTTTATTATCTTATACCAAAATAACTTTTAGTAAACATCTGAAAAACTGTTATTTTAAAAACTGAACATGAAATCAGATGAAAAAAATAAAAACATGAAAAATAAATTTGAATAAAAATGCACATAAAATGTGAGAAAAACCACAAAACCTTTTTCTGGTTAAGAAGTTTTTCAATGTTTTACTTTTAGATTGCATTTTAGTTTTCTTAAATTTGCAATTTTCAAAATATTTCCCATAAAAAAGTTTGTTTCTTTCTTGGTAAAATAATGGAACAAAATTAATTCCATAGCCAATCAGGAAACATTTGTAAAAATGCTGTAAAAGACGCATTAAAATCCTCTTAGATTCCCGTTTTACCTCCAGATGCCTCCTGTTGATCTCGTAGATGATCTCCAAGTGTCGAGGCAGCAGGTTCTGGAACAGGTCCACAGGCCAGCGCTCCAGGGCTTCAGGCAGGACGGTGTGGTTGGTGTAGGCACAAGTCCGGGTCACAATGTCCCAAGCCTGCAGACAGTCAGAACAAAACCACCTGAAACTCAAGAAGAATCATTCTGGCTGCCTGCAAACAGACGGAGGACTCTGGTAACTCATTACGACAATCTACAAAGCACAGCTTTAGGGTTTGGGTTAGCTGACCATTGCAGCTGCTGGCTGCCGCCAAGCCATAGTTAGGTCAGGCCTCTGTCACACCTTGCTGATTTATCCAGTGTTTGTCCCAGAATCTCCTAAAACAATGGCATACGCTGAACTTTCTATTACCCCATTTACGCTAACCTTGGAAAACCGATCCATGCAGAGACCGGTCCAAGCTCGGATCAGTTTACACGTCACGCTATCTCG